ACGACACTCAGGTTCTACTCTAAACCCACCAGTGTTTTAAGTATTTCTTGCATACTGGTTCATTCCAGAATCATGGTAACTCCACAAGGTAGACACTTATTATTTGCGCTTTACAATGGGAAAACAAGCATGACAAAATTAAAGATGTTGTCTTAAATGAGAAGAGTAGGAGATGGCCAAGTTTTTATTTGAAGCCAGCAATTAGAGACTCCAGTTCTCTTAACCCCTAGGTCACATTACTTTGTCACACATTAAGTTCTCATGAAGTGTTCTATTTTAGAAATCTCTATTCTATTTCCCTGACCAAATATATCTGTTTTTGTTAAAAATCACATTAATTTCAGTATGAGTATTTTTTTAGCTAATTTTAATGCTGGGTAAAACAGCTCTTCCCACATAAACATTATTAATTTCTTGGTAATTTTTCGTTAGTTGTATAATGGTTATTAACATAAACTTATTTTATCATGTGCATACTGAAATGTTTTTCTCTTCCATAAAACCAAAATAACCCAAAAATTATAGTAAATTCGTATTTTATTTAAAAATAAGTGATATTGCTACATTAAATCTGCCCTTCCAGAATCATAATAATTCTATCCATTTTTAAGGGAATGTTTCTTGTCTTTATGTGGAAATTGTATAGTTTTTTAATATGAATTCTGTACTCTTTTGATCCAATTTATTGTTAGGAGTTTTTGAAATTTTTTTGATATGTATATGACATACACTAGATTGAGCCCTAAAAAACTGCACTCACATACGAGCAACTTTATAAAAGAATATTTCAATTTCACTACTTTTCTTTCTTTCTTTTTTTAGTGGTAAAGGGGATTGAACCCAGGGCCTTGCACTTGCTAGAATTCAGAATTGACCTTCGTGCAGAGAGAAAAGAAAGGGCTAGGTTTTGTAAATCACTGGAGGCTTTTGTGAGTATATTATTGGGTTTTACTGAGTGAAAATGTAAACTATTTCAGGTGCAGGAAAGGAAATAAAATGCTAACATTTTAAAAGGAGGTTTAGGATAGCTTTTGAACTTACTGAACTTAAGACATCTATTGCATGTGCAAGTGGGAATGCTGGGTGGGGAACTGGATGTAGTCTGTGGTTTCATTGTGATCGCTGGACTAAAACATAAAGGTGAACTCAGACATTTTAGTACCTAAAGATCATATAATTTTAAGAAATATTTTGGGTGACAGGTTTTAAAATTATGAACATAAAATTCAGTAATAAGACTGCACAACTGCGGAATCACAAAAATTATGTTTCATTTGTTCATACTTGCTATGATGTGAATGCTTTTGCCTCCTTTAAAATTCATGTTGTAAATTTAATCCCAGTGTTGGGAGGTAGGGTTTTCTAAGGTGTTTAGGTTGTGAGGGCTCTGCCTGCATAAATGGATCAGCAGTTTGTGAGTGTACTCTCTCTGTTCTGGTCTTTTGCCATATAGGGGGACATGATGTTATTTTTTTCTTGCTTTGTGAGGATGTGCCTCTGAATCTGAGAGAAATGTTCTTTATTATGAGTTAGCAGCACAGCTATTCTGCTGCAGCAGCTCCAACAGACTAAGAAAATAGTAAACCTGTCTCTTACTGAAGACATAAATTTTACAGATTATCAGTATAAAAAAGCCAGGGGATCAGAAAAAGAGAAAGAAAAATACAGACTTCGAAACAGTCTCAAGTATCAAGGCATAGAGCACTCCAACATTAAGTAGAAGCCAGGAATCCGAGAAAAAGCAATATAGGAGGAAATCAAAAAGGGTGCATTGTCCTGGAAGCCAACTAAAGAAATTACACCAAGAAGATGGAAGTAATAAAACCTGTATGGGTCAGTAATGTGTGGCTTGAGAACAACATCTGGCATTAACAGTATGCCCATCAATGACATCCCTGGCAAACAGTTTGCATGGAACTCTGGAGGCAAAAACTTACTGGAGTGGATTAGGAATGAGAAGACAGAAACTGAAAAACAGTACAGACCACACTTCTGTGCATTCTGCTACAAAGGACTAAAAGAAAAAGAGCATTAGCTGTTGGGAGAAGTGAGGTTAAAAGTTTTGTGGTGATGTAAATTAGCACCACCACTATGGAAATCAATATGGAGGTTCCTAAAACATTGAAAACAGAGCACCCATATGATCTTGCAACACCACTCCTGGGCACATACGCAAAGAAATCAAAGTCAGCATACAATAGAGGTATCTGTACAACCATGTTCTTGTGGCATTTTCCATAATAGCCAAGTTATGGATGAACTGATAAGGAAAGTAAGGTATATATGTTCTACTAGGTATTTTTTTAGCCATAAAGAAGAATGAAATAATTTCATTTTAAGGAAACTGGGTGGAACTCGAGATCAAGTTAAGCAAAATAAGCCAGATTAATGAAGACAGTATCATGTTTTCTCTCATATGCAGAATACAGATCTAAAATCAAAGAAACAGAAAGACATGAATGTTGAAGGAGAACTACTGAGGGAGACAAGTGGGAGGGGGACAAGACAGGATGATGGGGATAAACATAATCAAAGTACATTGTGTACATGTATGAAAATGCCATAATGAAATCCATTATTTTATAAAATAAAAAGTTTGGTTTAGTCTTTTAAGATGGGAGAAAAAACCCTGTTATGTGTATGTTGATTGTAATGTTCCTACAGATAATAAAAACTTGACAGATAAAGGAGAGAAAAGGCAGTTGCTGAAAGATATCAGTACTGTTTTTAAGTTATGTTGTAGCAAATAAATAAATGTCTACAAAGCACGTGTTTTGAAATAATTATTTTTTTTCCTTTTCCTGAAATTTGATACAAACTTCAGGAGAGCTAATAATCAAGAATTAAAATTAACATCAGAATTTAATTTTTGGCACTGTTTATCAACATAAATTTTGTTGACTAATAATGAAATTATTGAATAATTTAGTATCAATAACTTAGAATTGATTAGATGTTACTAATCCTAGTTTTTGAGCTTTTTGAAAGCTTAAACATGTTGCTTTAAGAATTAAAATCTATTTGCTATACTTTTATATTCATTTCATATTTAAAATTCTGTATATAAAATAATTCCAAACTTGCACCTTATAATATGAAGCATATGAAAGACAGTAAGCTGTAAAACTATTAGCCCTACTAACTTTTCTTTCAAAATTTTGCAATTTGATCATTAAGCAACAAGTAACTTAGTACTTTCATTAGAAAATTATTATTTTTTTCCTTTTTTGTTGTGCTGGGTGGGGGGTACATTTTGGCATTTACAAAGGTTCTTACATAATGTATCAAATATATCACTAGAAAATTATTATAGAATAATTTAAGCTAAAGAAGATAAAACTTTTAACTGGGTGTACAGGCTCACTCCTGCAATCCTAGGTACTGGGGAGGCTAAGGTGGAGAAGACTACAGTTCAAGGCCAACCCTGTGCAAAAAGTGAGTGAAATCCCATCTTAACTAATAAAAAGCTGCACAGCAGTGGGTGTCTGTCATCCCATCCATGCAGGAAGCTTAAATATGATGATCAGGCTACTAGCCTAGGCATAACTGTGAAACCCTATTTGAAAAAATACAAAACCCTTGTTCCTTCCTATTATTGCTTATACTCTCTCCTCAACAAAATAAGAGATAAGGGCAAAATAGTTTCTGCTGGGTATTGAGGGGGTGGGGGTAGAAGGAGGGGATCGAGTGGGTGGTAAGGGAGGGAGTAGGGGCAGGGGGGGAGAAATGACCCAAGCATTGTACGCACATATGAATAATAAAACAATTAAAAAAAAAAAAAAGCAAAAGGGCTGGGGGTGTGGCTCAAATGGTAGAGCACCTGTCTATCAAGTGCAAAACACTGAGTTCAACCTTAGCACTGCCTACTATATACATGTATGTATGTGTGTGTGCATATGTGTCTGTGTAGGATATTTCTATGATAAAATTCAAACATTTTAAATAAGTCATTTGCCATATTTACTTATCATTATCTTTTTTCATTACCACTTTAAATTTATACAATAAAAGATGGTGGCTATCATATTCTAGACATTGTTCTAAGAATAGTTCATTCTTTATTTTTTATGTCAACCTATGAAGTCCTAATATTTGAGTTTCATTGATGAGGATACTGAGGCTCAAGGTTACTTGGCAAGTAAATAACAGAACAAGGATTTGATCATAAGCAAAATAGCATTGTCTCTAGTATTGACATCTAGTTATCATTTCATAAGGTTTCTCACAGTAGTCATTCAGTTTTCAGGGGGAAATTATTATTGCAATACTGTGCTTAAAGTCTGACCTGAAATATGTTAAGAGGCATGAAGGACAAGAAAGGAAAGTTCATGTACTAAACATACAATCGCTTTTATAAAAAAAGTGATTTTAAAATGCTGGACTGGCAGGTCGACTTACTCTTTGAATTATGTGTGTTTCTTATTTTTGGGTATTTTAAATATTTATATCTCATTAGTTTTTTTTTGTAACACACTAATTTGTGACACAAACTGCTTACTCAGGAAACAATTCAATCACAATTCACTTAGCTAACTCAAATAATAAAATAAAATAACACAAATGATTTGGTAAAAATAACACAGATGTTAGGTGTCTGTGATTTATATTGATTTAGAATAGTTTATGTAGAAAAAGTTTAGACCTAGTTTTAATAGCAGGGAGTAACGTATTAGCTGTAACACACGATTTTTAATCTGAAATAGAAATCTCTGGCTTTGATTTATTTCTGCCATTTATAAAACTGGAGACATATTTGCTAAATGGATGGGGAAAAATAAAGTATATTTAAATCAGTTATAAAAGTCATTTTCTTATATGTCAAAGTCTACTTTAGTTATGGAAAGTTTAAGATATTATATTAATACAAACATATTTTCCTATATTAGCTGTACATACAGATAAGCCACACCCCCAGGTCTAAGATCTTAAGTCAACATAATGAAGCTAAATCAACCAGGACTACTTACAAGAAACAACAGTGAGCTCTATAATTTAGAGTTCAAATGAACAAAAATAAATTTCCTTTTGTCCTATCACATGACTAGAATCTATGGAGAAGTACTATATAATTAGAAGCTACTAATAACAAAGATCACTGATAACTATAGATCTTTCAATGAATTAAGGGTTTTGTTCTGTTCTTCTTTTAAATCTTGCTTCATGTTATCCAGGAGATATTATGCTTCTTTGTATAAAAACAGAAAACAGAGTATAAGTAATAAATGTAATGGAGTACAGTAGACATAGTATGAAATTGCAAATGATTTTTTATTTCAAATTAACAAAATATTAGATTTGGCAGAAGTAAATGTAAGAATGTATCTGGGGGCAATATATAGCAATACTAAAGTTTAGCATAAATAGTCTTTTAAGAAATCATTTTATAACAATTTACATTCTTATATAAAATAAATGAAAGAAAATTCAAGTATAATTTCTGATACAAGATTAAGATGGTTTTCTTTTCTAGATGCAGAATTTTTACTTATTAACGTTGAGAAAAATCACTAGTTTTATTGTTATTATTATTGTGTTCATTTGTTTTGCTTTTGTTTGGAACAAACTAAGGATAAAATATAACAGCAATATTAAAAATATAAAAACCAGTGATTTTCCCAATAGTTTTATATACCATAAAACTAAATTCACGAAAAAAAAAAGATAAGGCATGTAGAGTGAAAAATGTACATACATCTTTTAAATTTGTGTATATATACAAGTGTGGTGCTCACTTTATGTTCACTTCAAAGAGAAGTGCTGGGTTCATCATTAGAGATGTGTATTATATTAGCCAATTTATTGGGGTAAAAATGTGAGCTTTATAAAGTACTTTTGTTAAAGGGAACATCACTTCAGAAAATGAAAACCAAACTCCTACTGTAGAATAACATCTTAAAGTTTGTTTTGTTTCAATATATCTTCTGAGATTGCAAAAGAAAACAAGTAAGAAAAATAATCCTAATGGCCTTGTATTAGACAATATGCAAAAGCTACATTTACTGTATGAAGTATAGGTCAAAGTTAACAATTTGTTAGTCAATGAAAAATATATTAAAAAGACAAGCTTTTGTTTAATATTTAATCACATAAGGCCTCATATTAGTTAAAAAAGTGGAAATAATAATGAAAACATTTCTCACCTAAAGGAAACTCAACTCAGACAAAATGAAAATGTGTTTAATAATTTTAATGAATATATTATTCAACATTCACATTTTTAAAGAATGACCTTTAAATGCTTTGTACCAAGACAACTGTCAAATCAAACTAATAAAATTTATTTCTAGTTGCAAAGTTTGTCACAGTAGCAATGAAATGTTTAAGATTTCTTAAATATTAAAAAATATCATCTGAAAAATGATTAAACAGTACTAATATTATCAGGTGCACCAAATTTTAGTTGGGATTAGGTTGCTAAAAATGTTTACCATCCAGTATTGTTTGCATAGTAAGGCCTGTCTCAAAATTGCATTCACTTTTAAAGATATACCTTTGCTCAATTTTTTAATACTATCTTTTTTTACATATAAGATATCTTTAATTTACATACCAAGAATCCTAGGAAGAAACAATAAGGGACATTAAAATACAAATTTAATAAATAATCTTCAGAGCTCTATAAAATACAATTTTAAGGGAATATTTCAAAATTCTAAATAAATATTCCATTTGAATATATTTTTGTGAAATGAAATAAATGCACACAAATTTGAAGAAATAGTTGATATCTGTTTCTCAGGTTATTTGGAATCTCATCATGGTGCATTTATGCGAATGAACGAATAAATCCTTAACCCACCATTATCTTTTTCTCCAGCTTGTAGGCAATCACCCGTGAAAGTATGGTGTAGATGAGAGGATGATACTGTACCTGATTAGCTCTGGAGGTGGTCATGGGATCAGATGGAGAGGACTTGGTGGTAGTTGGGGAAGATGGCAATGTCTGGGAACAAAGCAGTTCAGGAGCAAATCAACCTTTATAAGCCTTAAACTGATTATTAAATAAAACAAAACAAAATAAAATGTAATATAACGAGAACAAAATCCTAAGAACAAAGTTTTCTCCTATTCATTCAAATTTAATGGAATTTAAGATTGGCTGGGTAACTAATGCATTGAATATGCATGCATAAGCATGTAAAAATAAATTCATGACTTGAAATCATGATGGTGACTGATAAAAATTCACATGAGTACTAAAGTATTCTGACCATATTCATGAATAGTAGTCTCATTTCTTTCCCTCTTGTTTTCTTTGGGAAAAGAGATGTCAAAGAAAAATTCAAGAAGTTTGATGAGTAAAACAGAAATAGGGTCACTTTCCTATCAATGAATACAGTCAAAGATTTGACGAAGTGGTGAAATGAAGTTTACTTTGGCATAAAAATATCCACCTACTTAATGCGTTGTACTTCACCAACAAGTTGATTCCACATGAATTTAGGGATCCAAACATAAAAGCAATTAAATTTGCAGTTCTGAGTTCTTAATAGCACATTATCTTCTAAAACATTAATTTTAATAAACTTAGAGCCCGTCTGAAAATGTAAACATTAACTTCATATTAATAAACAGGTAACTAATAGCATTCTAAAAATCAGTAAAATATTTTTATCATTTATGCTGAATAGTAAATTTAATGTAGATACAGCATTTTATTGTAGTCATCATCAGTGTGCAAAATAATCACAAAAATATTAGGAGTCAGTCATTGTTCACTTCTAAGCTCATATACATGTTATATAAAAACATGTTGTACAAGACTATATAGACTTGAGCAATTCATTAAGATATTAAGAAAAACTTTTCATGTCTAATAGAACAACCTTAAAGCATAAATTAAGATATTTTATTTTAAAGAAAGTATCATTACACTCACTTAGCCAAATAACATTGCTTATTAAGCATCCTCAGTGGATATTTCTTAATGATGTAGATTTTTACAGTATTGACACAATTCTATATGGGCATTATGTTTTGCCTTGATAAATATGCATCAAAATTACTTAGATATGAGCAAAAGCATAACTTTAAAGGTTCAGCAGTGCAAGGAAAATTAGATAAAAATACTGGAAATCATATTTTTGCATTTAAGATTTCAAAAGCGCTAATTTGGATAGGATAAAGCAACGATTAAAAGAAAGAATAAGAAACTCAAAGGCATCTGGGTTAACTCACTGCCCTCCAGTAAAAACAATACAATTAGTTCTAACATTGGATCGTATTTTATGAAACCTCTTCAATTTTTCTTAAGTTAAAACCCAAGCTAGTTTGAGGAAAACTAGATTGAATGGTGAGTCAAACTAAGACTTTTTGAAATCATACAAACATGAGAAAAGGATCTAATGGTCAGAGGTAAAATGTCATAAAATTTTTTTAAAGTTTCAAATCCTTTACTTTCTATTTTGGCTCTTTGCAATTAATTCTTGTCATTTCTCCAGACAAACCTCATTTTCAGTCATTAAAATTGGCTTAATATTTTCTTTCCTACGCAATACTGTGCTGGACATACGCTAGTAACTTTTGTGCTATACAAATTAAATAGTAAAGGTTTTGTTTCCTGTAACTAGTTTAGTTGCTATTACACAGTTTTCTGGGAAGAATCAACATACCCTTAAAAATCTGTTCTGCACCAATTTCAGATTAATATTGAAGATACTAACCAAACAAACGTTAAATAAATCTAGATGCCTTTTTTCCCCAATATAGACTGGAATCCAAGCTCCTTAGCCTACACAAATCCAGGACTCTATGTGTGTTGGGCTTTTCTATTTCCATCAGGATGAAATTACTATAGCACTCCAATAGTCACCTTGTCCCAGATACAAATCTCAACAAGATTTTTAAATATTGCAAAGAACTATGTGTAAAAGGTAGTAATACCAAGTGGCTCGGTATTTGTCGTAACATATTAAAATGGTCTGTCAAATTTTCCATTGGCTTTCATTTTGATTTTCATATTTATGAACTATTGAAAATATATTAATAATTGAACTTGTATTCAACAAAATTGTCCTTAGTAATTCTCATGCTTTTTCCTTCTCCCAAGAATAAAAGAAATTATTTAAAACTTCTTCAGCATACTGATGTGTTTCAATAATTAAAGGTTTAGCTATTAGACATAATCTGATAAGTTATATTTTAATATTTTAAATAAACAGGTGAAAATTATGTTTGTGCTTCAAGGTATAAGACTGTTACAGTGTCACAGCAAACTGTCTCTAAATACTATTTTCTTGATTTAAGTTTCTAAAATAGTTCAAAATAAAAGATGTGATCAGTTTGCTAGCTATTATTCATATAGATACTCTAAAGCATAAAAAGTGTCCTTTGTTTACAAATTTAACTTAAAACAATAAAGACATTCCAGAAAGTTTTCATTTCATTGATTTTTTTCATCTACTTGGAGGAAACTTGTTCTCATAAACTGATAAATGGAAATATATTAAAGTAATACCTTTAAATTTCTAAACAGAATAATAGAACAAATGTGATAATTGCTGTCAACCACACAGATAAATGGAAAAAAATCCACAAGAAATATTTAAATGTACAATATAAATATAGTTTGTTTCCTTAATATAATCAAAATTTTTATATCCATTTACTGTGCAGTTATTAAACCTTAGTGATTTTGAGTTAAATATTATTTAATAAAATTTCTAATATACATCATGAAGATGCAATTGAGTATTCATAACAAGAGTTTATTGATATATTTGTAATATATAGCATTTACAAACCACACATTCTTCCAACAATCACTCTTTGCATCTCTGAATAGTGAATATGAAGGACACAGTCATTTCCCCTTTCAAATGGAAAAATATAATAATATGCTTTTCATCTACATAAGTTGAATGGATGCTTAAGAACTGTTTAGATATTGAATGCTGAATTACTTATTGCAGAAAAGCAAAATGTTTTAATAATTCTAAAACAGTGATTCTTTGAAAGATGAAAGTTCTTAAAATCAAGATTTTAACAATAGGAATTTAGTTAAATGTAGACATAAACAGGCTTTTGGGACTAAGAATGAAAAAGTTACTGAAAATTACAAGATGAATTCTTGTTAAAATTTAACAGTTTTCCTGGACCACAGAGTATTACCACAACTAAACCATAATAAATACAGCTTGCCTTGAAGTAAGAGAGTGTCAAGATCTCTAATATTTTTAGGCAAAGCAAGAACAGCAATGAACAACAAATCTCAACTGTTGTTCTCAAATCTCAATTTGGAGCATATTATTAGCTAAGTGAGACACTACTCAAGCAATACTCCTGCCAACCTCTGTTTAGAGTTGTGTTAAATAAACCAGTATCTTGCTTCATAAAAAATGGATAAAATATTTAATTTGTAACTGTCACCTTTAGTTTATCATTCTTGATGAATATTCTCCCCTTATAAAATATCTGAACTAGTCTATTCAGTTTTTTTTCAACCAATGGCTATACCTAGAAGTATCCTAAAGAGTCTGTCTGGATTTTTAACACAAAGGAGTCCAACATGTAAAGGAGCCTTAATTATTGTCATAAAGTTTCAGAAAAATTAAAAGTGCTCCTTTGGAAAACATAAAGAATGCTTTGTAGCTTTCAGGATGCTCCTTATCCAAAGCTCTCTATTATCCAGCCTGATCCTAACATTAATTTTCTTTAAACTCCAACACAAACATTCTACTTCTGGCAAAATGGTCTGCTTACTATTCCAGAAATGTGATGTCCTTCTCCCCAAATCCATTTTGCTTCACCTTCCTAAGTTTTTTTTTTAATTTCTTATATAATTAGGCAATTCCTATACAATTTTCAAGGTCTAGTTCAAGTCTTTACTTATTTTCAAGACTGTTAGTATCAGTCTAGCGTCCATTTCTTTCACACTCTTCTAAACATTTATAATACGTTATTTATATTGTAGTTTGGGCAAATAAATATAATTTTATATTTGTATAAGTTCTTTTAAGTAATCATATCTCACAAACTAGTCTTCAAGGACAAGAGCTGTAATTTAATATATTTTACAAATAACTAAGAAGGCATTTATTTAATAAATTCATGATTGAATGAATGAATGAGCAAAAAATTTAAAGTACAATATTTTGCCAATTGTTCATGATGAAAGTAAAATTCTTTGGGCTAAATAAGATTTTGTTATCATTTTAGATCTTTATTTTGGATGGGACTGGGGTGTGAGCTCAGGATTTCACACTTGCAAAGCAGGCACTCAATGGCCTGAGTCACACCTGCAGTCCATTTAGCTCTGCTTATTTTGGAATGCGGTTTTGCAAACTATTTGCCTCCTGGCTTGGAATGTGATCCTCCCAATCCCAGCCTCCCAAGCAGCTAGGATTATAGGCATGAACCACCAGTACCCACCTAGATTGTTTTTAACTGTAAGAGAATTTTTAAATTACCCTTCAACATCCCTTTCCTAATGAAGCTTTATTTAAAAAACAAAAACAAAACCAGATCTGAACAGTCCACAGCCTTAACATGTGAAATTGGCTCTAAGGCTTCCATGTTAGGTTTCACTGTTCTACTACTACTCACAAGACCTGTGAGACCTGAATGCACACTTTCCTGAGAAAGTACGCTTGCTTGAGGTTCCAGTCTGTTAGTAGGGATGGATTCATTTGGTTAAGTTATATAGTTCATAAAGTTTATTCAGTTACCAACTCAACTGTATCTAGGTAACAAACCCAGGATATAATAGTTTATTAAAACTATATGGTGTTCACACCAAATATATGGTGTGAAATCATAACCTTTAAAATCTTATTTAGAAACTAATCGGACTTCTGATTTTAAGTCTAAATTACTTATAAATTATAATTTTAAAGAAGCCAAGTCTTAAAATTTTCAACCATAAAACAATGACCAAATGTAAGAATTGAGACATTAAAAACTTCATGTATCTATTTCTATTTATAAGCTAGATTTTTCTGGCTCCAGCATATCTTAAAGGTCTAATTTTATTCTTTAAATAATTACCCAGAAGAAAATTGGTGATAAAAAAGTTTTAAAGAAATTTTTTTTGAAAAGTAAGTTTGGTACTAAAGCTGAAAAGAAATGGAAATGTTATGTCATTTGTTGAGAAAAGGTATTACTTAAAAGAAATCTTATTACGATCATATGAAAATTTTAGATATATGTAAACATCATACAAAATGTTTTTATCTATTCTGTGGTGAAATGATTTTATAAATGACTACTTTATACTACATAACTTCCATCATTCCTTCAGAAATAAAACCACAGTCATTTGAATTTATATTATTTGGCTTAACTATTTAGAGAATGATTTGGTAAATATATTACAATAATAAACTGGAATTTCAACTCACAGCATTAAAAAATAACAGCTGATGTCTAACATTTTAGAAATGTGTTCCAGCTCTTTAGATTTCTCAAGTAAAATTTTCAGTTTTTGTATTAGAAACCAAGTGTTTAAGTGGTAATTTATTACCTTATTAGATTCAGTGCTCTTTTGATAAATCCTTTTAAATGATACAATATTTCATATACTTTATTGATTCCATGAAAATATAATCAACAATAATTTTAGTTCCAAGAGTATCAACAAGGATTATAAATGAATGCAACCACACAAAAGTAAGTTAATAAATAAGTTTTTAACATGTATTTTGAATATAATTAACATTATCCAAACAAGGCAACTAAAAATAAACCAAACCTTTTAAAAACTGTAGTAGTCTTCATAAATCTACACTGGCACTGGATCGATATGAATACAGATAAAATTGAAATCTTAGTAATGATTCTTTAATGGTACTATTTGTTTTTATAAAAATAAAAAAAATTAATTCATGTTATTGTCCTGGACATGTTGCCAGTGATATCATACTTCTCAAACTACATTTTATGTTAATTTATCTAAAAAATCAAGATGTTTTTCTATCTCCCTAAGTGTTTGAACTTCCTCATAGAAATTACAAAAGAAAAAGGAGAAGTAACGGGCTGGATTAAGGCAGAAAGTCAAAAGGCCATATACGTCAGTGCTCATTCTGTAAACTCTTAGCCACGGACGATCTCAAATCACAAGTATACAGTTGATACTCCGTTATGTAATCTGCATAAAGTCATGGTCTGGCTTTAAAGTTGTTGAAGTCTTTAAATTATGTGTGTATTACCTTAGCATAGATAAAATAAACAATTTGAAGCTATTCAATGACTGAGAAGAATGAAATATCCCCTGGTATTTTCAGTGTTAAGATATTTATATGCTGCCATGTATATGTTAAGAGAAATGTCCTTAAAAAGTTATAAAGGGTATACAAGCTGCACTATTTAACACTGACAATCATATGAATGGTTTTATATGAAATGATAGTTACCTACTCATAATTTAAACATGAGTTTTTAAAAAAAAATAAATAATTTGATATTATTTTATAATTTGAAAATACACTACCTGATTATTAATTTTTGAGTTTACATATTCGCATTATATATGTTGGCAAAATTATGATTCATAATACTGTTTAATTTTTTCAATTCAGAAACATGAAATTAATAAAACTGAGCTATGTTTTAAATTTATTACAATGAACATAAATATTCTATGAATTGAATATTCTGTGAATTAAGGAAGAATACATTTCTAAAAGCAGTAGGTAAATAGTAAAAGTAAATCACAAATTAATTATAAAAGGCAAAGGTAGAAACAATAATTACAAACAAAGTATCAAATAAATATGTGGATTCAAAATTGTTCATGGTGGAAGAATTAACCTTATTTAACATTAAATAATGTCATTTTCTCCTACATCATGTCAGTTATTACTTAATCTTAAAAACTCACAATTGTTTTTAATCAAATAAATTTTCTTTATAAGAAATCCCACACATTAAAAAATCAACATTGGCCCTTGATGACATATATGTAAATACTTCACAAGTTATACAAGGCATAAAAGCTGACTTACAACAAACGACTGAGTGCTGGGTACACAAATTTACTTATACATATTTTTTGATAAAATATGTTGAACAAGACAAATTAACAAAACAGGAATTTATATGCGAAATATACTGAAGACTACAAATAACACTAAAAATTGGATATGGATATTGTGAGGATTGAGCTTCATTTCATTTTTATACTTTATTTAAAAAGTGATATAATTTTAAACACACATTCCTATAAATTAATATAATGTGTCTATAAACTTAAAATGGGAAATCATAGTCTCATATATGCTCCTCAGTATAACACTAATAAATATTCATCAATCAATTTGTCAATCAAAGGAAGGGACCTTGATAGTCTTTAAAGAACTAAATGACAACTGGCATGTTTTAATGATGCTTTAAAAAACTTTATATGCTAAGACTTAAAGGCTTCTTTTGTAAGGAATTCATATTATGCTGTGGATACTTTTCTTTGATTTCCCAACTAAAAACTCACTTGTTTGATGCGATCTGGATTAACGGTGGTCTGGGGTTGTAGAATGCTGACTGGTTCTGTCTTGGCCACATTTTGGGGCATTTCTCGAATTTTTTCTGCAATGAATCCATGAACTGCATTCAGTGCTTCAACTGTTCCCTGGATCAAGCACACTCGCTCAGTAGTACCTGCAGATAGAAGATTTATTTTCAGAAAACATTTCTTCTCAGTTTGTATTTTTTTAAACCAAGAAAAGTACAAGAAAAGGATGCCAATAAAATAATGTAAAATATAAAACTCTAAATTCCACGTTAAATCAAACTAAACACAATTAATACATACAAGTTCCTTTTTACCATTTATAATTCATTATTTCCAATTCATTCTCTTTGTGGTAGTCTCAAAAAGGGTCTTTGGATCCCAGCAGAATCAGAGATCCAGAGACATTCACACCACAACACACATTAATTGAAATAACAAATGCTCATTACTCATAAAGGGACTGACTGAAGGTTAGAAACTGGTGACAACCTGGTAACTATCTATGGAACCATCTTTCAAGGAGCTTACTCTTTATTGGTAAAAACACCAAATCAGTTAAATGTAAGATAGCATCACATGAGGAAATATATGTATCACATGAGGAAAATGTAAGTATCAACATGGATAGCATGGTGGGTCCCTAGCGAGCAAGTTTATAGTAGATAAATCTCTAACGCCCTCTACTCACCTTGCTTTTCAAATCATAGAAACGATCACTACTTGATATTTTTGTATTTGTAAATTTTTTATTTTTCCACTAGAATGTAAGCTCTAGGCAGACAGTTAATTAGTTTGTTTTGCTTTGTGGTATAGTAACCCTATAGCCATGATAGTCCCTGGCACACAGAGATTTCTGTATAAACAAATTAATGCTGCCTTTACAGATGCAATAATTTTAAAGAAATATAGAATACTGAAGTTAAACAATGGTCTTTATACTATATACAATACAGCATTTGTATTTACAGATATACCTTAAGGCAATAAAAAATGACTAGCTTTTTTCAGATTAGTCTGAGGCTCACTGCAGCAGGCTGGTATTCAAAAGTAATCATCACTTCTCATACATAAGTACAAATATCTAAAGAATGGAATTTTAAGATTTGTGAATTAAATAAATAAATAGTATAAATAGTATAAACACATATTCAAATTCCTACCATATTTCCTTTTGGTAATACTGTTTCAAAATTCTTAGCCACTCTGTAAAATGTGACAAAAGTTGTGTAAACTACTAATATTTTAAAAACTCATATGAAGTTTATGGTGTCTTAAAGATTATGATGTATAAATCATTTATCATTCTTTTAGAAAATAGACTTAGATCGTGGGAATTAGAAGCAGAATTAAGAGTATAATTATAGGGATATACCTAAATTAAATTCTTATATTTTAATCAATGTCAAATAAAGTTTGTGAAAAGCTAGACTTCAAGGTTGCAGAAAAATTTCAATAGACAGTAAGTACAACTTTCATTTGTAAGAACAGTGAGTTCTTGAGTTTGTGGAACTAATTTTTCCTTTTTTCCTTGTTGTCTTAATCATCTGTTCTATTCTTGTTTATCATGTTGCATCTTTGCTATTCTTTGGTAAATGTTCTAATTTATAGGAATACTCAAGGGAGACACTCAAAGATTATACTAATTGTCCAATAATTATAAAGGGTGGGAAATGATCAATGTAGCTAATGAAAAATGTTCTTATCTAGGTCAGCAGACAACACAAAACATTTATCAGATTACATTGCTCTGTTTGGAAACAACAGAGCACTTTTTTGTGAATGTCAAAACAGTCTAACTTAAACAGACTTTTAAAAAATAATAAACATGGCAACTAAGTGGCTAAACATATAGTACAATCCATGTTCTTAAAATTCCAATTTGATACAGTATATATATAATAGCTGACCGCACAGTAACACCAATACTCTTCAGATTGTACAGACTAACAGATAGTAAATGAAAGTCACTGATCTGTAAAGATGGTCCAAAACCAAATTTCACACAGCAGCATGTATGAAACGATTTGAAGTTAGTCTTAGTCTCTCAGTTGCAGTGTACATATTCTGAGGAATGAAAATTATGTAATTTCCATTAGAGCTAGTCTAAAAAAGGAAAGCCAAAATGGAGATGTACCACAAAGAAATGCTGCAAAACATAGAAGAAAAGAGATGTTGTCATTCCTCCTACTGAATGTAATGGCCTTTTCACCCAGATAACATAAAACCATAAAAACTAAAGTTTGTAACACAAATGAGTCTACAAATCACAAAAGTTGCTGGGTTTTGTTATTTGAAAGGCTTTTAGGACTCCATTAATGTCTAAACTAAACTGCCAGTTATTTGTCATTTTATTTAACAATGGTATTTACTTCTTTTTGCAATAGACTAACAAAGAAAGCTGAAAATCTTAGTAAAAGTACATACAAAACACACCCATTATTTTGTATAAAGTAAAAATACAGGTGCATAGACATCATTAATTTAAAATTGCCCTATTAAGGAGAGATTACAAAATATTTAATAAGGGTCAACATAAAATACAGAGAATGACACTTGAAATGGCTTTAAGGTATGCTTTCACAGGCAACACCAAATGCTGAAAAACACATTTCTAAAATGAAGTACAACTGTCAGACAGATTTCATAGCAAGGATTCACACAAATTTAATGAAATATTTGTTCTGTGCTACTGAAATTTTGGACAAGGCACTTAAATAGTCCTGCTCCTACCTAAGGCATTCTATCACTTGGGCACTGGACTCCATCCATTTTTATCTACCAATTCCTCTTTCCCTCCCATTTAAAACGGAATGCTTTCTTATAAGTCATCTTTTTTCTATTGGATCATTCTCATGAGCAGAAAACATGTTATAACCCCCCCCCAATATTTAAAGACATTGACAAAATCAAAAATTATCCTCTTGTCAACCTAAACAACTAATTTAGGCAAACATAAAAATGTATAAAACCAGTGGATGAAGGATTGATGAGAAATTTTCAATGATATCATTAGGATGTCACCAACTACTTCAGGGGCCGACATTTCCATGATTAAAAATGTGAGAACCATACATTATATGCCCATGGACATGGTAGTACAAAGTTCAGAGCCAAGTGTGAAGTATATATCCAAAAGTAGCTGAATCTAAATCTAGCAAACATTTTGCATTACATTAATTATATTTACTACTGTGAACAGAGAAATAAATATATTATACCATAAGGAAGCAAAGATATCCATCAAGAATGTAAAACCCTTTACAGCTAATTGATCTAGTCTCATTAGTAAAGAAGCAATTACTCTCTATACAAAGAAACTTAAGAGACATTGTAATAAAAAATCAGATTTTGATTAGATCCAAATTTAAAGAACTTTTATTTAAAATAAAGCAAGGATAAGAACTAAGTATTAGACAGTG